GAAAAGTGTCCGAGGGATTAGTCATGTATTGCTGTTTTGGATTGAAGTAACGGTAAGAAAGAACTGCAATTCAGTATTATTTCGTTACAAAACCAGGATAAAAACAAATATTCATCCTCAGCTTGTTGCGGAGTATCTTTTGTGTGTACTTTCAATGTCTTAGTATATATTCAGTTAGATAACCTATGGCAGTAAATAATTCCACAAAATTGTTAGCCTACAGCATTCATCACTCATCATTGAACGCTGACCTTCGATGTTTAAGCCGACTGGTTCAGCTGAAGGCTCGCGGTCAATCATCCACGCAGTTTGGTACGTCGTCGTGTTACGTTCGTTCGTTTGTGCATGATCCCCAGCTAGTTAAGCAATCATCCTCACACTACGATTTTGATTCCGAAATACACTTCTAATGTGGGACGATTATTTTGGTGCTTTGATTTGCCTTTGCTCTATGCAGAACAAATACTGTAGGAGTTTTGGGTATTAGAACTTGCGTTAGTATACACTGCTTAAAACTTGGGCTACCAAAAACTTCGATTAAGAAATGACCTCTAATGGTATTATCTACTCTTGTGTTTATTTAAAATGTTTACAAGCTTCTGACTGACAATTTCCTACTAAATTTGGAGAGAGGCCTGATTGTGGGTGATAATGTATTCCAATACATGAGATAACTGTTCTTTAGTTATGTCCTTGGATTTCAAAATGGACTTATGAACACCTTACAATTAGCTTTCAACTAGATATCGTATGTTTCTTGAAAGAGACAGAGCAGATATATCATATCATAATGGAATGATTTATGCTTCAGCTCAGAGACAAATGTGTCATAGGATATACTGTACGAAGGGAAAATATCATGCAATAAACTCTTCTGAAAATCCTGTACATTTTATAAATACTGTCCAGAATAAAGATATTATTATTATTATTACTTCTCGTAAACATCAAGACTTCCTCAACTCCTAAATATCCCTTAATTTTACAATGTTTTATAGCAGATATGTCTTCAGAGTATAGATAAACTGTGAGGCTGTTTTACCAGAATCAAAATCTTTTCTGAAAGTAAAACATTTGCTCACCTATGTTTATCAGTTTTATCTCTCTATTCGACGAATAACTTAAGTAACCAATAATAAGATTCATTCTTAAGGGATCTAAAACTATTTTCGTTTTGAAAATAACCCACTAGAAGTTTATTCCATTCATTTTATGACTAAAGTGAACTAGCATTTCTTTTGATGCTTTAAAGTCTACATGAATTTATTGGTGCACGAAATCTATGCCGTTAACCAATATCTCATGCATCAGTTATTTCAACGGTCAAGAACTTTACCACAAAGCTATTCTAATCAATATTACATTATGTGAACGAAATGACCAGTTGATGGAAATGGATATGGCCGTACAGTTTTTTAAGAGCTGACTGTAACCTAGACAACACAGATGATATAGTCCTCCCTCCTGAGTGAAGACACTGAGAAAATGCAGAGTCTTCTGAACACCTTATGGAGTAGCAATATTCGAATGTTTGGCATGTGATTCGCTCGTGTCAAATGTAAGATGATTATACACGACTGGACTACATTGACTCCTAGCTAAGAGATAGAGAGTGAAGTGGTAGAGCGTGTTGAACGCTTACTTAGTTGGAATGTTGCATCAGCCAATGCCAGTTTGTGGATCGCTGACGAAGTTTCAGTAAGGATACAGAAGGCTCATTTGGTATGTGCCAACCTACTCCATGTCTGACTTAGTAGACGTGACATCCGGCTGGCTCTCGACCAAAGGCCGTGTATACTGATCGGCAGTCCGCTCTGTCCTCTTTTATGGCTGTGATCGAGACATGGCCATTGAAAGTTGAAGATGTGGAAAGCCTGGCCAGCTGTCTTTCATCATAGGTGTCTGCGTTTTATCTCCTGTATTAAGTGGTATAGCGAGGTGAGCGATATTGAGGTTAGCCGTCGAGTGTTACGTAGGTAAGGAGGGGAAATCAATTGACGAGGATGTAGAGTTACGTCGATTGAAGTGTTTAGAACGTCTGTTACGTATGCCTAGCCATCGCCTCCCTCGACAATGGGCAATGTTAGCTGACATAAGATAGATCAGGTTAGAAAACAGGCAGTGGTGTTCGAACCAACATATGATATGAATCAATGAAATCCACAATAGTTAGTTTAAGCCAACCAATCCTAGAGGTGTAGACTGGCTTCCTATTTGGGGCCCTCGGGATGGTGAAAATCAATGGTGGAGGCAATTAGTGATATGGCTCAAAATCGTTCTCAATGGCTGGTGCAGAATCATTCACCCTTTGTGGTTTGTAATATACAATAAATTTGTATTGTTTTCCCATATTACTATTCACTTTGCCTCATATTTCTGTTCTTTATCTCTCTTTTTTTGATCTCTGTTTACTCTGTTCTCCTTGTGTGGTATATGGAGTAAGTGCTGCAACTGGAACTGCTGCCTATCTGTGCAAAGTTCTATGTTGAAACCAGTCAGTGACTTTAACCTGTCCATATAATTTTCAAGAACCTAGAAGACAACAAGTTTTGATTGAATCTCTCTCACAGAATTCATATAAGTGAAATTGAGAATTACTATGATTTGAGGTCTATTAATGCTGTTGTGGTGAGTACTACTTACAATCAGATATAAGTAGTATATCGGCAAACAAATTCGGAAAAGTAACAATACGTTTTGGGGCATTGAGAAAAGCAGTTAAAGAGGAAAACTGTGGAATGAACTTCACAACACTGTGCAAAATCTAATGTGCTACCGAATGTGGTGATATTTGACCAATTTGCAAATGATGTGCAAATAAAGACTTTCACATAAGGTATACCAGATTCATGTAAATATAATGCGTTTGTCCTAACATACATTGACTTCGAGCCTCAGTGGTCTATTCTTCTTTACACTGGTCGTATACTGGCATCACATAATTGTCTTTAGTGTTGTTTTGTTCTCTGAGCTGCACTGTTTAATACACACGAAGCTTTTATTATCCTCCTAGACAATATCTAACTAAGCGGCAAATTCTCTCCATTACCCCGATACAATACAGCTTGTCGGGGAGGTGGAGTGGATGATGGGACTTACAAAGCGAACCTTTCTTGATCCTTGACTTCCATTTTGTTCTGTCATATGCGTAAGTAATTTCATTATTTAAGCCAGTGCCAAGAATAAATACTCCGCGATAACTTTGACTGATGGTGACGTTATAGATTGCGAATTGACAGAAGATAGAATTCACTGGTCATGGGATTCCTTTCCAGTGGCTTGCCTAGTAACTTGAGGGTCCTGGATTCGATCCTCAATGGGAATATGTGTGTGTACTGATGACCAGTCCGAAACTAAGACGAGACCACTGTCAAGTACTCCTTGGTTTATAATGGTTCTTTAACTGATATCGATGCGTAGTCTAGCCTAAAACCAACCAAATCCCTTCATACTAACACCTGAGAATTTAACAGTACTAAAGACAATTTAACAGCAAGGAACGATTTCATGTTCTTCACGTTCAGATAATCGATTATGAAAGTTTCGCTACCAAGATGACCGGCTTAACTAAATGTCGTTATACTCCTGATAATATTATAGTAGTCATTTATTCAAATTGCATTTTCATATGCATTGAAAAGAACATTTCCTCCCGATAGACTCATTCCAGTTTACAACACAGTATGCTCGTTTATTCAGTCAAAAGTAGATAAGTATTCTTCTCTTGTCAACTCCATTCACCAATTCACCTGCACTTACGGCAGCAAGTATATACGAAGGACTGAGAGGACAGCGTTTACTAGATTCCCCGAGCATATCCCTAAAAGTCTCCGTTTAAAAGGCAGCCAAGCGTTCTCACTTCTAACTGCTAGATACCGACATACAGTGGAAACTAGTCAGGCTTTTAAAATAGTCAATACACAATGGAAACCATGGTTACTTTGGTTCACAGCATCAACTGCAATCAAAAGACTTTGATCCAATCTCTTTACACAAAAAGATAGCGTGACTAATTTCTCACTACCCAGATAACTGTAGTTGCTTTGTTCGGGTGCTTTTGTGTTTTGTTCTGTTGCATAACATTCCACTCAGTCTTGATTTTGATTTTCACTCACTGAGTTGAACTCACTATTAAAGTTCCAAATAAACTAAATTAAATTATTTTGCCTATTTTATAATTTTACTTCACTTTTCACTCCCACCACCGCCTTCCTGAACTCTCCATCACATTATGTATAAATTAACTATGTTGTTCTGTCTTGTATTTTGTCTCTAATCTGTCTTTGTTCCCAAACGAAATTTGAACTCTACCTTCTTGTCTTATTACTACATAATTAGTTACTGTTTTAACATTAAATACCTGTCTACTTACATTATCTTTGAAATTATGTTGCTGATACTTTCTATCTATAACTTGAAGTCATTGTAAAATGCATGGTCAGACACCACTTTGTTACGACGTATTTAGGATGTACGCAGTTGAGGAGAATCCACGGGATAAAACGTGCTCGAATTACCCTACAAATATGTGCTCGTTCTTTCTATATTCAAAATAATTAAGGGAACAGACTCTATGAAATTTATTCACATCTTAAGTGAGTTATAGGGATAACATTCAGTTATCAAAGATTTCTAAAACCATTTCTTGACAAATATATGCACTTAATAAATGTATTCTTATTGGAGTTACGCTGGGTAATTGTAATTCTTCTTCACAGTAAATTAGTTTATTTCGTATTTTTGAAGTTACTTATAAGTAGTATAATGTTTAAAATATAATATTCTGCCGGCTTCAAGCTTGAGAATTTCGTGAAAGATGAGAAACTGAGTCAAATAACCAACAATGACAGTTACCAACGTGAGAAATTTGAAGGCGCATGATACATAGACCTAATTTTCTACACTTCATTTTTGCATATCTGTTTGTATTTCTCTCAACCCACTTATTGATTTATGACCCAATTTCTGAGTAGACCATGAGCTATATCATGCGACAAGTTCTTAAATAGAACCCGAATGGGAAACGGCTAGTGGAGCATTGTTCCTGGGGGGGCATGGAGGAGGTCATGCGAGAAGGAGATATGAGCTTATGGAGAATTATAGAGCTGGCTAAAAATGACCGTGAAAAGAAGGGTGAAACATTTATATGCTGTCAAAACGCTTTGCTGCACTTGAAACCCAATGAAATAATAATAATTGTTTACAAGCACTATTGTTGACATTAATTTGATAGTTACAATTGTAATCGAATTAAGAGGTTTTTAGGTGGTTGTATTTCACTACCTAGTCGTCTCATTTCACTGTTTGGTATTGTTGACCAGTCAAGACACTTGAATTGAGTAATACACTTCTGCTGGAAACGTTTATTGAGATTTTCTTCGAATGATTCAGCTTCTTTGGCTGGAATGATATCAGGCTTTTCAATTTGTTTGTTAATATCTACCTGAATGATTGTATTTGTTTTCCTGTAGAAAGAGGGGAAGTATAAATATATTTGTAAATTCGTTAAATTAATAAATGTATTTTGGTTTTCAGAAGACATACAGAAGTAAAACAAGGCTGGCTACCTATTATCACCGATGATATTCTTAATTGCTGTGGACTGGAGTATGCGTCAGACTGTGCGGTGAGGTCGAGGAGAATACACTGCACCACCCGATAAGAAAACTCTAGAAGATCTGAATTGCGCAGATGACATATATCTGATGTCACATAAACTCGAAGACTTGCAGGCGAAAACCAACAAATTGACTGAAGAGGCGAAGACAGGATTCCAGGTGAACATAGAGATGACGGAGGCGATGAAAATAACCAACGAACCGCAACAACAACAACAATCAGTACCAATCACCATCAACGAGGGAAATTTAGTTGAGGTTACTTCCTTCAATCATCTGGCTAGGAAGCATGGTTTCAATCACAGACGGACACCGCGGATGAAGATATCAACACCAGTCAGAATCGGAAAGGCAAGATGCGTCTTCATCAACCTGAAACCAGTTTGGAAATCTTCCTCACTCCACCTCAGAATAAAGAACAAGATGCGAATTCTATTTAACACAAATGTGAAGTCAGTCAGTCAGTTCTTCTATATGGGTAAGAAACTTGCACTGTGCGTGAGTCACGAAAAGGATTTCCAACAGGCTGCTACAGACTTTTGTCAACGGCTACCCACTTCTCTGGCTGGCTGCATACTGAAGATCTGCTGGCCATAATAAATTAGCAACATGAAACTCTGGCTGGGAACAAACCAACGAAGAGCCGATTGCTCAACAAATATGCAGGAGAAAATGGAGATGGATTGGGCATACGTTGAGGAGATCGTCGAATGACATCGCGCGCAATGCAGACCATCGCTCGAGTGGAATCCCAATGGGAAGCGACGAGTAGGTCGTCAGTGAGAGGTTGACATGGAGGAGATGGTGTGTTGGAGAGGAGGAGGTGAGAGATTATGGTCAATCGTGAACCCAGTTGAAGAGGACAGCAGAGAATAGAACGAAGTGGAGATGTGTTGTTGAAGCCCGATGTTCTACTCGGAACCCAAGGGAATAATAATAAAAACAGCTTTGAAGGGAAGTTACGAAAACAAATCTCATCTTGTTGACTTGTGTTCTTAAATTCTATAATTCAAGTTAATTTACGCAACAGTTAGAAAAATAAATAAATAAACATCTTAGAGAATATATACAACAGAAACTTACTTCTTGTTCACTTCTCTATGATCTTCTAAATAACGATTTCTCTTTGAGTTGATTCGATGCACTTGACCTGGTAGAATTTCATGCTTATTCAATACGGTTATCGTTGGTAGTATAGTTAACAGACGATATTTGAAATCAGGTTGTAGAACAATAGAATTTCCAAGTAAATTTAGTTCACGTAGAAAATGCATTCTTGACAATTCTTTTTCAACTTCCTAAAATAGTGAGTAGTAGTGTAGAGATTGATTAAAAATTAATTAGTTCGTAAACCCACATACAAGACAATATTTTAAGTCAAAATTCATATGTGTATATAATTTTTGTGGCTGTTGGTTATCTGGATGATAAGAATCGGCGTAAAGTAGTAACCATCTTATGATTCATCGTGTGATCGGATGACTGTTAAATCTCATCTTTTTCTTACTTTGGCTAATCAGAACCTTTATTTTTTGCTGGCATTGCCGAAACGCCTACCAATCAGAACAGTCTATTATCACTACCATAAGCAGATTTTAATGGGTTAAAAATATATAAATACGACGTAATTTTCCGTAATAAAGTCATATACTAACAGTCACAGGCCAGTCTTTACCTATTGATATTTACGTCGCTCAGTGAAGTGGAAAGTACTGAAGACAAAAAGATGTTTCATACAACTGGTTCCCTTGATAAATTTCGATAAAGAAAGGAAGACGGAATTTGCAGTATAAAATGATATCATTCTATTTCACAGGTTCTCATCAGCTACAGACTACCTGAAATTACAATGGTTATATAAATGATAATAACATACTTCAATGTTTGCGTAGTAGTAGAGAAGAGATAAAATTGACGCATCCAAAAAAGAATGAATGAAAGCATTACAATTTTTAGTTTAAGTTATCATCATCAATTTATACACTTTCAGAGTTGAAAAGAGGGGGGAGGGGTAAGACAGAAAACAGAAAAATTGATTAACAGAAACAGTGTTAGCTTGTAGGTCCACATGGCAACTCCAAAAAACAAAGGCGGTTACAGTTTATGGGATTAAGATTTGTTCAGTGAGTTGAGATCACTGAATTAGATGACTAATTATTGCAATCAAAATTCAGTTACCAAGGGAGTGAGAGGTTAATCACACTCCCTTTCTGTATACACAGGTCTGGTTTAAATCGTTTGATTGCGATCGCTTCGGCAAATCGTAGTAAATTTGCTGTCCTTTGTCTATTTAATATTTTGAAGGACTTAGAAATCTCTACGAGATGTCCGGTATCAACAATATGTCTGGTAATTGCACTCTGAGAATATTTGCTTCCTTTCAGGCATAGGTTTCTTGGAATGTGTTCAAAAAACCGGATAGAAGCCCTCCTTTCTGTCCTTCCAATGTACTTGCTCCCGCAAGTGCACGTAAATTCATAAACGCAGATGGAGGTGACATCAGCAGGGTATTTATGCAGTTTTGAGTGGATTATAGAAGGAGTGGTGTTGTATACTGTTATGAGTTTTGCTGCCGGGAAGCTTCGATTTATTGCTCCTTTCAGTCTTCTGTCAATCTTTTGTGACATTGCATCTCCTTTGAATGGGAGACAAATAAACACTTTTTTCTTTTCTACAGTTGGATGCTTTTCTTTCTTATCTTTTTCTCTGCTATACTTCTGTATAAATCCTTTAGGGTATCCATTTTCCCTCAGACATTTCTTGACGAAATCTAGTTCTTCTTCGACCTTGTTTGGTGAACATAGCTTCCTGGCTCTGTCGTACAAAGTCCTCACTAATCCACGTTTATAGCTTGTGGGACAAAAGCTGTTATAGTGAAGATATTGTCCAGTCCAGGTTTCTTTTCTATAGATGGACTTTTCAATCATGCCTTCGTTTGTTCTTTTTACATTTAGATCCAGGAAATTGAACTCATTTTTATGTTCATATTCCATGGTGAACTTGATATTTGGATGGATCTCATTTAGGCGATCATATAATGCCGATGCGTGATCCATGTCGTTGCAAACAACAAATGTGTCATCAACATATCGGCGATAGTAGGTTGTTCCATTGATAGCAGAAATTAGTTGTGTCTGTTCAAGGTAGCCCATGAAGATATCAGCCAGGATAGGTCCCAGAGGTGAACCCATAGCGACCCCATCAATTTGCCGGTAGAGTTGATTGTTGAATTTGAATTGTATATCTCTTGTGCAGAGCAGCAGTAGTCGCTTCATCTCTGTTTCCGGTAACGGTAGTAGATCCGTTTGTTTACAAATGGTATCAATCGTTTCCATCAGTGGTACGTTTGTGAACAAGGAGGTCACGTCATACGATACCATGAGTTTGTCTGATATGTCAATATTGTCAAATTCCTTGGAAAATTGGTAGCTATCCTTCAGGCTATGGGTTGCAAATTTAATTCGAATTGGCTCTATGGAATCAGCTAACCATCGAGCTAACTTGTAGCTTGGTGAGTTAATCATTGACAAGATTGGTCTTAAAGGCACGTTTACTTTATGGATTTTTGGTAGGCCGTACATAGACGGCAGGCGTCCACCTTTCGTCTTCCTTTCTCTATCGAAACATATAGGTGTATTTGGCATTTCAGTTCATCGAGTTAATAATATTGTACCCACACTTAAGCACATTCGGTCATATTCTAACGGTAGAAGGGAAAACACTCGGTAAAGGAATGTTTATTTGATATTTCTGTATAGCCAGATTATGTACACCTTATCTATAAATCATCATTTGCACAGATCTTCCGTGATGTTCTACTTCTGTTCTTCAAATTGTGTTTCTTTGTCTTCCTTATCAGGTCTCCCATGTTTCTCTCCAACACCGAATCATTTGCTTTCTTTGATATTTGTATGCTGATAAATGTCTCTTTATGTACTACTGATAAGTCATATGAGTAGCACAGTATGAACTGCCAGCGCTATCATATCAGTTGGCGATAGATATATAACAAATGAGCGACGAGTTCATTTCAGCTGGTGATACAGATTATCAAAATGAAACAGACTTAACTCATTCAACTTTATAAGGAAAATGAAGTTGGGGAAATAAATTATTCGGCTGCATAGTGATTTTTATTATGATTATATATTATTTGGATAACCAGTAAAAGTGAGGAATCTGTTAACTGCTTCTATATTTCAATTTAGGATTACTGACGCCTGACAACTTACCATGTCATGCAATATGGATCACAGGTATGCGTCAGATGTTACTGTCACCATATCACTATTCATTTGCCTAGTGGGGATTCAGTGTATTTTGTTTATCAAACTTCTGACTACCCATGATGTTTCACTACCATCTTCCATAGTTGTTCTCACAGAAAGAATAAATACTTGAAATTCAATTTTGATTTTCCCACTGGCTGATTGGACGGTAATGTCCGGCCTCTGTTGACAAACAGACTCCTTGTGAGTATGGTTTGGAGATGTCTGAGGATTAACTTGAAGTAATCTTGGTGGATGGTGACTAACAGTGGAATCCAGATTGAATATTTCATACGATAAGTGATATGACCGTTAATACACTTGTAGTTGTGCCAACAAATTTCCTATCTAGTCAGTTCGCGAGCTTATTGTTCTAAGCACTATTAGCAACAGCAGCACGATAGGATACAGCCGAAATCGCGACGCAGGAAGCGAAGACTGACTGTTGACGTGGAGAGCTTCTACTATCTCGTATTGACAGCGAAATAATTTGAAAGCGCTTAAATATATATATGCTTTGAATGACCTCGAGAGGTACTAATTACATTGACAAATTAAAGCAGTCAGTAACCAATAGGACTTCAAGGGTCATAAGTGGGGTGAGGGAAAATAAGTTCTATAAATCAATAAGTTGGGTGAGAGAAATAAAACCAGACATATAATAGGGACATGTAGAAAATTAGGTCTATATACCAAATGGAACTTGTGTCCCAAGTGGCCTAGTGGATAACGCTTTGATGTCTGAAACAATGTGTTCTGAATTCGTGTCTCAGTGAGAACCACACCATCCACTTGGGAGTGTAGATGCATCCAGTGACGAGTCCCAAATAAGACGAAATGCGTATCCTGGATTCCACTGCTAATCACCAATCACCAAATTACTTCAAAGAATAATGACCTTCATCGACTGTATCTTCAGAATGAAATTTCTAAGTATCGATCTAGAACCAAAGCACAGATGAACATTAGAATGTTGTTCACTTGGAAAGTTTATGCATAAGGGACAGTAGCAACCATAAAATATGATGGATTCAGTTTCAGCGTAATGGTTGATAAGGAGACTTAAGATAGAGTTATTCATTGTTCCTTCCTTGCGTAGTTTCTTTTGTTGATAATGATTTCCGACGAAAACTTTATGGAAACAAATCATTTCACTTGAAACCATCCAAATGAAAGTAGTGTAAACTCAGGAAGTCAGGTTTCTTTAAAACTAGGCCAACAAGGAACCAACCTATCTTGATTTCAAATTCACAGTAGAGTTTTGCTAATGATTAATGCTTTTTAGTATAATTTTAAGCTATGTGCAAGCTATCATGTTTCCAGACTGTAGATGTTATAAATTTCCTGGAGTAATTTGAGCGCCGAGTCAGATTGAATCATTATAAATTATTTAAAATAACTCCAGAGTCGTCAGGAAAAAATTAAAACAAGACTTTTCTGTATACGTTTCGCTGTGTAAGCCACAGCTTCTTCAGCAGCAGAACTACTCGGATTTTATTAAACAAAATACATAGTCAAAATTTTTAACATAAATTGAAGCTAGTTCCTTTGAAGGTCACTTATCAGTAGACATTTGTACCAACAGAAAAGTGTAAACAGTCACCACAATATTTCCTGGAATAATTTAAGCGCCGAGTCAGATTGATTCATTATACATTATTTAAATTCATCCCAGCGTGTTAAGAAAATCAAAACAAGATTTTTCTGAACGTTTCACTGTGTAAGCCACAGCTGCTTCAGCAGATTTATTCGGATAAATCTAGGATTAATTTACATAATTTATAATGAAGTCACCACATATTTGTAATGACTAATGTCAAATTGTCATATATGCGTATTTGTCTGTATGAGTGTGTGTGTGTGTACGTTGTTTGTTATATGGAAAACACGTCAAAACATGGAAATATTTTATAATATGGTCATAACATAGAATTGAATTTGTGTTTCTGCCTCATCTGTTCTGCTTCATTAGAGTCTGCCATATAGATGATAAGTTTATCCCTTCTTTCCTATTCACTGCATTCGATGTGGTTAAGATGTGCAAGGCTCCAGAGGTCAACCTTTCTTTATGTGAATAAAGCCTCTTCCCAGAATTTTGACATTGTCGAAATCAATCTTATGTCCGCTGTCCATTGAGAGCATGCATTGCTATAGCTGATCTTTTTTCTAGACTTTTTAATTCTACTTCATTTCTAGGTGGACGTTTCGTGCATAGTCTATGTTCATTCACTCTGACCTTCACCTGTCTACTGCTCTCCACTATATAACAAACTTCACATTTTGAACACTTTTTCCTATAGACATAATTACTTTGTGACATCTTGGGAAACATAACCTTGACATGCACCAACGCTTTCTCCAGAGAATTAGAGGGCTTGAAATAGACTTTAATATTATATGAAGCAAGTAGTCTTTGAAGTTGTTCAGCTTTCTCCTTTCATTATGGAATGGCTATCGTCGATAGCCAAGGTTTTTCAATTCTCAGTTTTCCCTTCTGCTCCTTTTTTTGGTAATATTATTTGGTAGCTTTTTCGGATAGCGATTTCCAATCAAAATTTGTTTTATATTGGATATCTCTTTCTCCATATCATCATTATCTGTTCTAGTGTTTCTAGCTCTGTTAACGAGATTTAAACCTACTGAAACTTCCATTCTTATTGGATGATCTGAGCGGAAACTCAAATACTTGTTGGAATGTGTCGGTTTCCTGTATATCATGTTCTTTAGTTTCTCGTCAGTTTGTCTTTCTTTTTTACAAGACAATCCAGAAAGGCTAGAGTTCCTTCAGCCGATTCTACTTCATTTTTTTAATTCCTTCAGGTTCCTAGTGAAACATAGGGCTTCAAGCTAGAGGCTTGAAGTTTCTGTAACAGTGTTTATTTTACAGGATGGGGTTGCTAGCCTCATGCCCAACCTTTCCTTTTCATCAGCTTTTAGTTCTGGCTTAGCGAGGTAAAGGAGTGCGCCGGCCAGCGACTGAACCCCGGACCATGTGCATGGTCGGCGAGCGTCCTAACCGTTATGCCACCGACGCACTACTTCATTAGTAAACTGTATATATTCTGAGATTTGTGCTTTTTTTGACGTTTGATCGTTGGGCATGGAGTAGGAAAGATTCCTTGACTCGATTTTACCTTTCTTCGGATTTATTAACAAGACATATCTGCATATATATTTTTGTACAGTCATTCAATATATATATCTTAAGAAAATTAACAGATTTTAACAATAACAATAAAATTTTCTGAAAAAATGAGGGCTTATAAACTTGCCTGTAAATTGCCAAGATGATTATTAGATAAATCCAATATTTCAAGGCAATGCAATCTATATAACTGTCCACAAATAGTATATAACTGATTTGATCCCAATCTTAATTCTATGAGACCTTCACATTTTGTTAAACAATTATTCAAATTTTCAATTCTATTATTATTTAACCATAAACGTTGAAGATTTGGAAGTGATGAAAAGACATTTTCATCGGGTATTATTTTCAATTGAAGATTTGATAGATTTAAATCAGTTAATAAGAACCAAACAGAAGATGATAGACAATTAGAATGTTTTAACTTGTAAATTCTTTCAAAATCTTCTAAACGACATTTCAATGCTTTAAACAAACGATACAGTTCATTCTTTTGATTTTCGCTTGAAATAGAACATTTTAAATTATCTAAATAATTCAATGGATCAATGTACATTGATTAATTTGACTGATTTAATAGAATTCACTTAATTTATTCATAGGTTATTTATTTATATTAAAGAAAACTGAGAAGTAACGACCTTGTGTTTGAATAAAATCACCTGAGTTACCATACTGACCTTGTAAATATATAAACATCCAATCAAATCATTCCAAAATTTGTACTTATTTCTCTTAGTACTTTGTTTTAAAAAAAGTACTTTGATTTTAAAATAAGTGGTTTCAGGATTTCATTATGAGCTGACATCAGTTAAAGAACCATTGGAAAATCAGCTGGGAGCACTGGCCAGCTGCTTCGTCTCAGTTTGGGACTCCTCATCAGTATGCACCCACCGGGGTTCATGAGTTAGCAGAAGTTAGGATTCATGGGCCATTGGATCGGATCCCATTAGTTTAATGGCCTACGAGGTCGCCTTATAACCAGAATGTCCTGGGTTCGAATCTAGGCGGTGGGTGCGTACTGATGAAGAGTCCCAAACCAGGCTGACGAAACAGCTGGACAGTACACCCTGCAGGTTTTCCAATGGTTCCCTAACCGATTTCAGCTCATGAAGAAATCCTTCAACCAATCAAATAAAATCCCTACAAAAACTAATACTTAAAAATTTAAAGTAATTCGCTTTTGCGGAATTCCCGTTTTTCTACACAATTTAAGGGTACTGAATTACCTCCTTTTAATCATGCGATTATATTTCAAGACTTATTTAGTGCACTTGAAAACATTTTTCACTCAGTTTTTTTAGTGTTTATTTTCTTTTTCATCCAGAATTAAAAATGCAGTTTATCTCGGACAAATGGTAGCTTTATAGACCTCCACTGGAAAGGAATTGTTGTCCAGTACACTTTAATTTCAAGTACCACTCTAGCTGAGTTCATTTCTTCCCTTCAATCGTTTATTTAGACGGTCACTCTAAACATTAGCAACCCAAAACGTACTCACATCATAATGACCTTGGTGAATATCTGTCAACCAATCACATGAGTCCAAAATAAGTGCACGTAATTTAAAAAAAGAAGTTTATAGAAAAGTATTTTTATGTTAAAAAAGAAGTAGTTATACAGGGCAACGTTGTTGTATGTGTTCCGAGAATACCTCCCAATTTCCTATAGGATTCCTTATTGATAGGTCAAACTGATTTACGCACATGAATTTATCCAGATAAATATATATCATGCTGTTACGTGACCCATTTACTTTTCTGATCCTCTTTTTTTAAGTGAGTCCATAAGCTTTCGATGGGATTTGGGTATGTGTCGCATCGAAAGGATTAACAAAGTCATCTCTATGATTGGCGACATTGCGAATATAGTCTCAGAGATCACAACTGTCTATAACTACTCCATTGATCTGCGTGTATTTTTGTCCCTGCGAACACTAAATGTTCAATAGTCGGTAGTAAAACATTCACGTTACGATCAGGTGTCGTACAATCCCAAAACCCATTACTGATAAGCATTCAATCTAAAAGCAACTGCATATCTTCTTGAACTGATTTTTTGTTACAGCAGTTACAGCAGTCCTTCTTTTGGATTGCTATAGTTTAGAATTATCATTTAGCGTATTACTCAAAGCAGCTGGCTGACTACAGTAGTGTAGAGTTCTTACTTCTGTTACGAATGAAGTTGCAGCTTTTAGCTCTATTTGATCAAGACATTACTATGCATCGCATATATAGGATACCATTTTTAAGGGTTTTTTAAGTTTTGATATGATTTTATACGTTTTATAATCCATAGGTATTTTTCTTCACAACTTGCTATAAATGCCATTGCATGTTGTCACTTAAGATTTATGCACAACCTACTAAATCTCCGAAGATATACTGATTCTGATGAAATTGCCTTACCCACTTTAAGTTTGATATCCTTTGAAAACTCTAATATTTCAAGAAATAAGTGCATAATTCCATACTATCCAATCTAAATATACAGGATTGTTGATATTCCAGTTAACAGTATGTTAGATTATGGAGGAATAAGAATAATCCGAGCATTGAATCACAGTGTGTAAAGGAATTTTTGGCATAGTATATCAAATGCACATGAAATGACCATCGGATACTAGACAAAGTGGTTAGCAGTCCTAAGTGTTGATCAACACCTAATGATCAGATGTCCAGTGGGACTGTCCGTGATTGGTGAAGCTGTAAACGCTTAGTGCTAGATGCTGGATTCATTTCTCGGGATTCAGTAGAACTAAGTTCATTATTTGTCGATACTTATCAGCAAAGTGCGCCTACAACTCTCAGGAAGTTATTTTTTTTCTTTTTGAGACCAAAACTACTAACACTATTGACTAGATGACAAAACGCATTCAGGGTCTAATTGTAGTTAATTGATTAATTAAATTGCGCTTATGGAATCCATTGCTGA